AGTGTGTGTGTGAGTGTGAGTGCGAGTGCGTGTGTGAGAGTGAGTGAGTGTGTGTGTGTGTGTGTGAGTGTGAGAGTGTGTGTGTGATTGTGAGTGTGTCTGAGTGTGTGTGTGTGTGCGAGCGAGCGTGTGTGCGCGCGTATGTGTGTGTGTGCGCGCGAGTGAATGTGTGCGTGTGTGAGTGTGAGTGAGCGAGAGAGTGTGTGTGTTAGTGTTAGTGTGTGTGAGAGAGAGAGTGTGAGTGTGAGTGAGCGAGAGAGTGTGTGTGTTAGTGTTAGTGTGTGTGAGAGAGAGAGTGTGAGTGTGAGTGAGCGAGAGAGTGTGTGTGTTAGTGTTAGTGTGTGTGAGAGAGAGAGTGTGAGTGTGAGTGAGCGAGAGAGTGTGTGTGTTAGTGTTAGTGTGTGTGAGAGAGAGAGTGTGAGTGTGAGTGAGCGAGAGAGTGTGTGTGCGAGTGTGAGTGCGAGAGCGTGTGTGAGAGTGAGTGAGTGTGTGTGTGTGTGTGTGTGTGTCTCACCGCTGTTCTCCTCCCCATCGCTCTGCTGTTTGTCGTGACTGATCTGCTCCGGTTCTAATCTGGATCTGGAAACACATGCAGTGTGAGTTCATATCAGTAATAATCACTCAAATCTCTCCTGATTGTTTTTGTGATTAATTTTCCAGTTAAAATCTCTAAAGCTGCTCAAAGCCAGATAAACACACTAGAGAAACAGCACTGCGTAAGAGATTCAGACTGGTTTTCAGTCTTTAATACGAGTGTTTTGTCTTACAGGTTTTTTCACGTCACATACAGCACAGTTATGATTGTGTGCTTGAGTTCAGGGTGTGCACTATGTTTGAGCCCCTAAATCAGACTTGACCCCCTGAAGGACGGCAAAACTCATACTTGTAAATATGAAGATGCATTTCTATAACTTTGGACCATTAGCATCACCTGAGCAGCTGAAACAAATAACCCCCTAAAAACACACATTCAGTGATGTGCATTGATCGCATAGATAATGTAAGTGCGCAGTTCAACTGAATGAGAGAGTTCGTTCTCTGAATGTATGAAGTAAACCTGCTAAACTATCCTCAACAACACTGAAATAAGAGCATGCCGTGTCTGTCAGTCAGACATGAGTGTAAGTTACTCTTGTGTGTAGCACCTGCAGTACAGATGTGTAAATATTAACAGTACATAATTAACACAAACCAACAATACTTCTAAAGCATTTCAAATCTCGTCTTATGTAAATTTCTAAATATACCACCTGATTTAGAATATTAAAATGAAGTGATCTATCAATCTTTAAGAATTAACAAATGTGTGAGAAAGACATTCAGTAAATCATACTTCACTTATAATGTAAAACAGGTTACAGTAAGCAACAGAAATAATGACACGGTGACGTGTGTGTTTACACTGATGTGTTCATTCATGTGTGTGTCTTATACTTACAGTCTCTTTTTGTCCACGACTCTCTTGACACGTACAGCTCTCTGTTCAGAATACAGCTTACACACACCTGCACAAACACACACACACACACACACACACACGAGTCAATGTGTGCTCACCTTAGTGTGTGTGATTCTTATACGTCTGTGAGCGTGTGTGAGCGTGTGTGTGTGTCTGTGCGCGTGCGAGTGTGCGTGTGTGAGCGTGTGTGTGTGCGTGTGAGTATGTGTGAGTGTGTGTGTACCTCTGAGATACGCCTCGATCAGATCAAGCACTGCTGCACGATGATCCTTCACCTGTGCTGAGACCACCTGTTTGCCCACTACACAACACACACACACACACACAGACATCAATACAAAAACACACACAACACTGAAACAGTGTGTACTGTATAAAGCACTATAGAAATAAATTAGCATGACTTATACAATGCAACAAAATGTACAGATGCATACACATACTGTCAGATCGCAGCTGGCCGATGGCGTCTGCGCAGGTCCTCATGAAGATCTGCGCATCCTGGTCGATTTGATCTCTCTCGCTGTCTGTCATACGGGACACATCCGAACACATCACACTGTGAACACACACACACGCAGACATGAACTGCCTTCAGTAATGATATGCAATAAGCACAAATCGAAACAGATAAACACTCTAAACCTTCTTTAAACAAAACCCAAGATACTGTATCTAAAGTTGACTGACCTGCCGGCGTTCACATAGTCCTTCCTGTGCTGCAGCAGAAAGTCCTTCAGCTTTGAGATGTTTGAGATCTACAGAAACAGCAAATCACACACACATCAGATACACACACACTGCGTTTGTAAAACCCTGTGTCAATATTAACTCAAGAGAAATAACACACACACTGTTTTGCTAATGTTACTAAAATGTTTCTGCCGCTTTAATAACCTCAATTATGTAATTGCTGCAGTTGTAGAATTTGACCTGAACAGAATCACTTAATAGTGACACACACACTCACACACACAGTCACCCACACACACACACACACACTCACACACACACACACTCATGACATCAGCGGAGGTCTAATCCTGGCGGCTGGAATAACACCATCAGATGGGTCAGAGGTCAGAGGTCGACTGCTGTTCATGAAGAAATCAAACGTTCCCAGCAGCTCTGAGTCTGTGATTCAAAACCAGACAGAAACAAAACACAGACACCTCAAGATCACATGACCACCGACAGATAGATGTGTGTGTGTGTGAGTGAGTGAGTGAGTGAGTGAGTGAGTGAGTGAGTGAGTGAGTGAGTGAGTGAGTGAGTGAGTGAGTGAGTGAGTGAGTGAGTGAGTGAGTGAGTGAGTGAGTGAGTGAGTGAGTGAGTGAGTGAGTGAGTGAGTGAGTGAGTGAGTGAGTGAGTGAGTGAGTGAGTGAGTGAGTGAGTGAGTGAGTGAGTGAGTGAGTGAGTGAGTGAGTGAGTGAGTGAGTGAGTGAGTGAGTGAGTGAGTGAGTGAGTGAGTGAGTGAGTGAGTGAGTGTGTGTGTGTGTGTGAGTGTGTGTGTGAGTCTGTGTGTGTGAGTATGAGTATGTGTGAGAGTGTGTGTGTGTGTGTGTGTATGAGTATGAGTGTGTGTGTGTGTGTGTGTGTGTCAGTCTGCAGTTTTCTTTCCTCACCAGCAGAGGGCAGCAGTGGCCTGCCGTCATATATGTGTGTCTTGAGTGTGTGTGTGTGTGTGTGTGTGTATGATTCCCACAGTGGTCCTGGAGGCCTTGCAGGAGGGCAGAGAGATCAATTGCTCTGGTAATTTAAGACCCTAAAGAGCAAGTAATACCTAAACAATGAGTCCAGCGCGAGTGTGCGTGTGTGT